TACACACATTAGAAAACTACAACATTACATGACTTTTTGACATAACCGCCATTCAAATTGAGGCACTTGTCATAGTGTCTTACAAGGTTTGAAACACCTTAGTAGGAGTTGTTCGGGGCCAAATCTGGGCTATAGGGTGGGGTGATCAAAAACATCCCAAGGGAACTGCTTCAAAAGTTCTCAGGTGCATCTAGCGGTTTGCCAGCAAGCATTATATCATGAACCAACGCCACACCGGAAGTGGTGCCATAGAAAATCCCGTCAAATGTGAAGATGCCAAAGGAGTAACTCCTCGTGAAGTTCATGGAGCATGCCTCGACCATCCATTCAGACGTCTGCTGTGAAACATTTCAAAAACTCACAACGAGCATCCATAACAAGCGTCGGGGAATACTGACTTCCGGTGTGGTGTTGTTTCACAATAATGCTCGCTCGCACACCGCTACACACAATGGTGGGATTCAGATATGTGAACAACCGGTTCTCGGTGTGGATGCTGCTTCCGGAAGTCCATTCTGGGCCTGGGCAACAAAAAATTAGCTACCCGTTCTGCCGAACTGGTGCGAACCGGCTGAATCCCACCACTGACTACATACAGCCAAGAATTTTTGAAGCAGTTCCCCATCGCCCAGATTTGGCGCCGAGTGACGACTACTAAGGAATTTCAAACCTTGTAAGACGTTATGACAAGTGCCTCAGTTTGAATGGTGATTATGACGAAAAGTCATGTAATGTTGTAGTTTTTTAATGTAGTATAATAAAAACTCTGTATCTGCGAGTGTCTGTCATGAATAAGCAAACGGAGGTTTATTCCCAAATTGCCCTCATACATATATATTTTTAAAAATGTTTTTATTTTGCATTTACAAGTAGTCCTCCACTTACGACTACAATTGAGACTGGGATTTGGTCACTAAGCAATGCCGACATTAAGCAAGTCATCAGACCCAATTTTATGACAATTTTTACGGAGGTCATTAAGTGAATAAGACCGTCACGAAGCAAATCCGGTTTCCCCAGATTGCAATCATGTGACTACAGATGTTGCATAGTTTGTAAACGTGGGTTGCCAAGCACCCAAATTGTGATCATGTGACTGCAGAGAGATGTGATAGTCATGAGTTCAAGGATGGGTGATAAGTCACTTTTTCCAAGCCAGTCATAACTTCGATTCATTGTTAAATCAACAGCCGTAAGCTGAGGACAACCTGTATTCTGTTTTGTGTCTATTAAATAACTAAGAAAAAGAACACACAAAATTATAAAAAAATGAAAAATGAAACGAAAGCATACTTGATATATACAGTACCTACAAATATACTGTACATATATCAATAATGAAATCATAATTCATCACAGTTATCTGTCACTGATCTATATTAGTCAATTCTGCAACCCACAGAATGATTGGAGTTATAAGTTTATCTTTTCAATCAATGCTGAATAATATGTTATTTGAGTCTATTTTCTTTGTCCAGGATTCAACTCCCATGTGATAAATTTCAAAAGAATATAAACATCTGAAAATATTAAATCCTGAGCTGAATCCATGAAATTGCTTCTTACTGAAATAGGACAATATGTTAAAAATAAAGCATTACTTTCACTGCATCTTCAACAGCATAAACATAGTGAGGTCATTTCTGAAACACTGTTATTATTTCTCTGGAAAAAAGATGTGATCTAAAAATCTTTTTTTTTTTTAATTTAAAAATCTCTCTTTTATCGGATGAGTAAAACCTGCAAGCAAAAAAAGAAGCAAACAAGAAAACACATAGACATACTTAAAGCGTTTTGAGGAAAAAAATAGAAAAAGCAAAACAAAGCAAACAATTATTACATAATATTTGCCAGACTTTGAAATCAAATCCATCTAATCTTCAGCTCATTCTGAATGTGTTGGTTTATTTGCACTGTTTATGGGTTTTATAGTACGTTATTGTCTGTGCGTGCGTGTCTTGCGTGCTATATCATATGCAACCCTGTATGCAATATAATATATACAAATATACAATAAATACAAAATATAATACATAGATAACGTAACATAACGTAACCTAATTCTCCTGCTTGAGCTGGACTAGAAGACCTCTAAGGTCCCTTCCAGCTTTATTCTATTCTAATATAGATATAGTAAGACAATATTCTACTACGCTGGCAGAAAAGTGTTTACCTCTAGGCCAGAGGGGGCGCTCGCTGGCCCTGAAACAGCCGGAAGCCCGTATCCTGAGGACGATCTATGCATCGCGCCCACCGTCACCAACTTCCGCTTCCACTCCTGCGCATCCCGCCTCACGTCCTCCCCGATTGGTTCCTTTCCTCCTCCCCCCTATGGGGATTGGCTACTTTCCCATCCCGCCCCGCCTCAGCGCCGCCTCCTTCCCGCGGGAGGCTGCCGTCGGTGTCTTCGGGGCGGCGGTTGCCGGGCGTTCTTTGTCCGGGAAAGACGGTCGGCGATCGGGCTTGGTGCCCACGCCTGGCGCTGGACGGAAGCGGGAATCAGCCGAAGCAGGCACGTGCGGATGGGGGTGTGTGGCCAGGGAGGTTTTCCGTAAGGAGATGCGGGTCGGGTCTCTCCGGGCACGTGTGAAGGCGGTCCCTCTGCGTGTTCGACACGGGTTTGTGTCTGCTGGGCATGCGTGGAATACATCATCATCATCATCATCCATAATAATAAGTGTTTTCCAAATCTGGCCTCTTTTAAGATGGGCGGACTTCAACTCCCAGAATTCCTGGCTGGGGAATTCTGGGAGTTGAAGTCCGCCCATCTTAAAAGTGGTCAGGTTGGGTTTTTTGGGGGGGGGGAGGCTGCCCTTCCTCTCCTTTCATTGTTGCTGTCAGTTTTTGTCCATTCTTTCATTCACTCCATTCATTCATTCATTCATTCATTACTGGCTGGGGAATTCTGGGAATTGAAGTCCGCCCATCTTAAAAGAGGCCAGGGTTTTTTGGGGGGGGACTGATAATATTTCACCCGACTTTTCTACAACCTGGTGCCTTTCAGATTGGCTGGGCTGCCCTTCCTCTCCTTTCATTGCTGCTGTCAGTTTTTGTCCATTCATTCATTCGTGTTTTTTTTACTTTTTATTTAATATATAAAATACAAATAAAATAAAATAGGGGATTGAGGGAGGGAAAAGGAATGCGGGAGGTGTGAGGAATAAGGGAAAAGGAAAAAAAGGGAGGGTTGACTTCCCACTCTTTGTAGCACAGTACAAAGTAAAAGCACTCTCGCCTCAACTTTTTGTTTTTACACTTTATTATATAGCTAGCCATTTCTATAACAGCAAATCTATCTAGTTGACAAAACCCTATCTAATGGGCCATTCATTCATTCATTTGTTAATTAAATTTTTATGCCGTCCATCTCCCCTGAAAAGTGAGTTTGGGTGGCTTACAGGTTCCAGATCCATGAGTTTTGCTGCAGGGGGGGGGCAAATCTGTGCACCTGGAGCAGGAACAAGGCAGTGTTAGGGCCAAGGGCTAGAGCAGTGTTTCTCAACCTTGACAATTTTAAGGCATGTGGACTTCAACTCCCAGAATTCCACACCTGCTGGCTGTGGAATTCTGGGAGTTGAAGTCCGTCCACATGCCTTAAAATTGTCAAGGTTGAGAAACACTGGGCTAGAGAATGTTGCTTCTTGTTTCTTCATAGTTTGAAAAATGTTCCATGGCTTCTTGTCTGGCCTTCTGGTGCTTTGGCAAAGAAGGGGGGGGGGTCAACCTATTTTCCAAAGCACCAGACGGCAAAACAAGAAGCAATGGAGGGAAACTAATCAAGCAGAGAAGCAACTAAGAAATTTCCTGACAGCGAGAACAATTAACCTGAAGCACCAGAAGGCAAGACAAATGGATGGAAACTAATCAAAGGAGAGAAGCAACCTACAAACTAAGAAGAAATTTCCTAGTAGTAAGAACAATCAACCGGCGGAAGGGCTTGCCTTCAGAAATCGTGGGTGCTTCAATACTGGAGGCTTTTTAAAAAAAGAGCCTGCACAGCCACTTGTCTGGAATGGTATAGAATCTCCTGCTTGAGCAGGGGGTTGGACTAGAAGACCTCCAAGGTCCCTTCCAACTTAGTTATTCTGTTTATTGATGGTGTGCCAGAAGAGTTTTGCAGAGGGGGCCACTCACCCAGATGATTCAGAGCCCATGAAATGGTTGGTTCAGTTGTCACCAAGGGTGGTGAGGATTTACTGGGTTTTGTATTGGGGTTTTATTTCTGTAAACCACCCAGTATCACAGTGAATGAGTAAGATAGCTCCATTTATTTATTTATTTTACATCTCAATGTTGCTATTTTTATAAATAAGGCAACAAACATATTCAATACACCTTCCTCCTCCTATTTTCCCCACAACAACAATCTTGTGAGGTGGGTTGGGCTGAGAGGGAGGGACTGCCCCCAAAATATATCTTCTCAGTGAGAAATAAGTAAGTATGAAAACATATTGTTGGGAAAGATGAGGGCGCTGATCTTCAACAAGAGAGCATGGGGAAGTCTCGGTCAGTTTTACTTTAAAGATTGCTCTTGAATACAGATAGTCCTCAACTTACGACCACAACTGAGCCCAAAATTTCCACTGCTAAGCAAGACAGTTGTGAAGTGAGTTTTGCCCCATTTTATGGCCTTGACACAGTTGCTAAGTGGATCACTGCCATTGTTAAGTCAGTAACACGGTTGTTTAAGTGAATCTGGCTTCCCCCATTGACTTTGCTTGTCGGAAGGTCCCAAAAGGGAATCACGTGATCCCGGGGCACGGCAACCGTCATGAATACATGCCAGTTGCCAAGCATCTGAATTTTGATCCCGTGACCCTGGGGGATGCTGGAACGGTTGCTACGTGTGAAAAACGGTCATCGGTCGCTTTTTTCAGCTCCATTGTAAGTTCGAACAGTCGTTAAACGAACGGGTGTAAGTGGAGGACTACTTGTAGAGCACTTGGGAATGAGTTGGTGGGGGGGGTTTAATCTGTGGCTGGCTTGCTTCCTTTAGATCTGCAGCGCTGGATTCCAGGGAGCCGAAGAAGGGCAGGGCTACAGCAACATGGCCAGCAAGCCCAGAGATCCAAAGCCAGGATGGAAACTGGCAGCCAAGGCACCTCGGCTGAAGAGACCCTGGAATGTGGTTCCTTGGCAGAGCAAGGCCGAGTGGGACCAAGTGATGGTGGGGCTGTACTGTGAGGACTGCCAGACACAACGAGATGCACTGGACAGAGTGTCTGTCTGGAAGAGCAGGTGAGGCGGAAGGCGGGCACAAAATGGCAGCCACGATTGAGGGGTTTCTGTTCGCTCAGCACCCTAAGATAAGTTAATGATCCAGTAGACACTTATGCATTTATATGTGCATATACAGAAAGTTTTTCAGACAAACTTTTTGCAAGGCAAAAGAGATTGTAAAAAGTATAACTGCAGTTGTTGTTAGTTGCGAAGTCGTGTCCGACCCATCGCGACCCCATGGATAACGTTCCTCCAGGTCTTCCTGTCCTCTACCATCTTCTGGAGTCCATTGAAGCTCACGCCTCCTGCTTCAGTGACTCCATCCAGCCACCTCCTTCTCTGTCGTCCCCTTCTTCTATTGCCCTCCATCTTTCCCAGCATCAGGCTCTTCTCCAGGGAGTCCTTCCTTCTCATTAGGTGGCCAAAATACTTGAGTTTCAACTTCAAGATCTGGACTTCTAAAGAGCAGTCAGGGTTGATCTCCTCTAGGTTTGACCGGTTTGATCGCCTTGCAGTCCAAGGGACTCGTAGGACTCTTCTCCAGCACTATAGTTCAAAGGCTATAATATATATATTAAACTAGGGGTCCCCGGACTGTGAACCGGCATCGGGCTACGGCATGCCAGCAACCAGTCCATGCAAACAAGCGAAGCCCCATCCACGGGATGCAGGCAGAACATGAAACCACGTCCCCTCCAGTCCGCGGAAAAACCTCTCTCCACGGAACCGGTCCCTGGTACCCAAATGTTTGGGGGGCTCTGTATTAAAAACTGGTTGAAATAAGGTTTCGTGGTTAGCATTTTGTATGAACCCAGAATGTGGGTTAATCCCTTAACTAAGTTAAGTCATGTGTATGAATACAACTGGTGTATCTGGAGAGCAAGAGAGAAGGAAGAGAGGGGAGAGGACCAGTTCATACCTTGCATTTACAAGAAGTCATTGGAATGCAAATTTATATGAAGATAACGTTTTTGAGATGGCAGCCTGAATTTTGAATTAGAAACCCTCCCCACCCCTTTGTGCAGTTCTCTCTCCAAACTTTCTGCACTGTGTTTCTAAACTTGGCAACATCTGGCTGGGGACACACAACTTAAAACTGCTAGGTTCGAAAAACATGGCTCTCGTACATTATTCTTCAATATTTCTATCTCATCTCTTATCCCACTTCTGAGTAATAGGTATTCAAGGGCTTATGTCTTAAGTGATTTATCTGCCAGATTTTCAATTTTGTAAATACTTTCCCCTTAGAGGAGTCTTTACACACTAATTTTGTGTACAGAAAAATCCAGTGGATTTCTCATCACTGCAGAGAACTTTGTTGGTTTACTGACTGCTGTTCAGCTGGCTCCCCAAAAGATTTGAGTGTGTCTTAGAATGCCCTTCTGAGAGAAACAGTGGCCATTGTTCAGAAGCACTTAACTTCTGCAGTTGATGTTCTCCTTAAGGATGCTTGTAATCTTGAAAGGTGTTCTAGGTCTGCCATAGAAGATACGTAAATCCCTGGATAGGGAAGATCGTAATATTACTGTGTTTAACTCTGAAACTAGGTTTGGGTCCAAGATGCCTTTAGCCGTGGAATGCACTGCAGATCTGATCCGCTGTAAGCTCCTAGATGCCTCTGGAGTTCTGAAATCCCACGAATTGATCCTGACCTATGGCCTGGCACTGGTGAGGTAAGAGTTGTGAGAAAGAGGGAACAAGCTTCTTACAGAAGCTGCGGTGTAAGGTTTACTGGAGGGCTAGGAAAGAGATAGAGTTTTTTATACATAGAATAGAGCTGGAAGGGACCTTGGAGGTCTTCTAGTCCAGCCCCCCCCCCCCCGCTTAAGCAGGAAACCCCCATACCATTTCAGACAAATGTTTGTCCAATCTCTGCTCATAAACTTTCAGCGATGGAGCACCCAGAACCTCTGGAGGCAGGTTGTTCCACTGGTTAATTGTTCTAACTGTCAGGAAGTTTCTCCTTAGTTCTCGGTTGCTTCTCTCCTTGGTTAGTTTCCATCCATTGCTTCTTGTCCTGCCTTCAGTGCTTTGGAGAAAAGTTTGACCCCTTCTTCTTTGTGGCAGCCCCTGAGATATTGGAACACTGCCATCATGTCACTGATGCTTCTTGACTCTGGGTCACAAAAATGTTTAAAAAAATAAATGAAAAGAAAGATTCAAAAAATGACAAGAAGTGAATGAAAAAGAAACAAACCCACACCATCCAAGGGATTTCAATCTTGCCAAAGGCTTGAATAAAGAGCTAAGTCTTCAAGCCCCTTCAAAGCACGAAAACATGGGATCCTCCAGATCTTGGGGGGGGGGACCTCATTCTAGAGGGCAGACATACTTCTGGGCTCCCAAGAGTTGACATTGTTTAATTGAAGGAACTTGGAGCATGCCAACCACGCCCATTCAAATTAGCCAAGAAGACACTGGGAGACTTGCAGCCCCTCAAGTAACCAGCTCCTACGTCATGGGCCATATTCAACGGTCAGCTTCAAGATAATGGCTGACGCTGGGGGAATGAGAAAAGCACATCTTCCTTCCCCTGTCCTGACCACTTTCTACAGGGGGACGATCAAGAGCATCCTGTCATACAGCATCACAGTCTGGTTTGGAAGCATCCCTGCTTCAGACAGGAAGGCGGTGCAGAAAGTGGTGAGAATGGCCGAAAAGATCATTGGCAGCTCCCTCCCTCCCATCCAGGACATGGCACAGAAGCGTTGCTTGAGCAGGGTCCGTAAGATTATCTGGGACATGACACATCCTCTTCACAACCTGTTTTCCTTGTTCCCTTCTGGGAGGAGGTTTTGTGGTATCCAAAGCAGAACATCCAGATTCAGTAACAGTTTCGTTCCATACAGCATTAACCTTGTGAACTCTCAAGCTTCCTCCTCCCGTTATATATTCAAGATGGAAAGTATTTAATATTTATTTGCTACGTATATGTAGGGATGTGGGTCTATACATATGTTGTATATAGTATGTTTAGGTGTGTGTCATGTATGTGTTTCACTTTGAGCACGGGCAACTAAATTTTTGATGTGTGCCGTTGTGCCCACAGTAAAAAAAATGACAATAAAGGTTACCTTATCTTAATTCTTCTTTCTGGGTTTGATTCAGGCTCAGATTATATTCTCAAAGCAAAACGGTTTCCCTGAAATCGTTCAACATTTCTATCATCCACAGGTTTGTGAATCTCATCACGGAGCGGAGGCAGAAGATGGTTACCGTTCCACTGAGGCACCTAGCTAAAGAGGTAAAAGAGATTTGAGTTTATTAACTTAAAACAATTTGTATTTCAAGCATATGTTGCTAAGATGCGTTGCTTCCACCTCTGATTTTAATAATCGTTTGGTTCCTGCTCCAAGCTGAACATCCCAATCTGGATTGTGGACCTCCGTCATGACTTGACCCATGGCACCCTTCCCCAGCTGGTGACCTGCCGAAAAGGTAAGAGTGTTATTTTTTTTATTCTGATGAAGTCGCCGTAGTGGAGCAGTGGTTAGGTTGCAGGCCAACTCTGCCCACTGCCAGCAGTTCAATCCTGACCGGCTCAAGCCGGTCCATCCTTCCTCAGCCTTCCATCCTTCCAAGGTCAGTAAAATGAGGACCCAGATTGTTGGGGGCAATATGCTGACTCTGTAAACTGCTTAGAGAGGGCTGTAAAGCAATGTGAAGTGGTATATAAATCTATGTGCTATTGCTATTGGTCAGGTAATTGCAAACAGCTAAGGTCAAAGAGCACCAAGGACTCCACCGTTCAATCCGGAACTGCCACAATTGAAAAATACAGAATGCTTCTCTCTGCTCCAGATAAGATTTCTCCAACCTGATATTCTCTGGAGGTGTGGAATTGTACCTTTCAGCATGTCTTTGGCACTCACAGACACGGGGAAAGCTGTTCCAGATCGTTTGTAGAGCTCCTGTAGGTTTTCTTTAAAAGCTGCAGTAGCTTTGTTGACTATGGGGGGAAAGGTCCAGGGTTTTTTTTTCTCCTTACATTACCAAAAACGGGGTCTTTGCAATCACTATTTACTTATTTGATTATTTTTATCCTGCCTGTATTATTTCACAAGTTATTCAGAGCAGCAAACCTACATAATACTCCTTCCTTCTCCTTTTTTGCCCCACAACAACAGATGGGTTGAGCTGAGAGAATGGCTGTCCTAAAGTCACCCACCCAGGTTGCATGCCTAAGGCAGGACTAGAATTCACAGTCTCCTGGTTTCTAGGCTGTGTCTAGATGTCTATGGGGGTTCTCAGTCATCCAGGTCATAGTTGTCTCAAAGGTGCTTTTTCAAAAGGCAACTGGATTTTTTTTTCCAAGAGGGGGGAGGAGGAGGAGGAGGAGGAGAAGGAAGAAGAAGAAGAAGAAGAAGAAGAAGAAGAAGAAGAAGAAGAAGAAGAAGAAGAAGAAGAAGAAGAAGAAGAAGAAGAAGAAGAAGAAGAAGAAGAAGAAGAAGAACTAGTGGAGGAGGAATGAGGAGAAGAAGAGAGAAGAAGAGGAGGAGGAAAAGAAGAGGAAGAAGAAGAAGGGAGGAGGAGGAGGAAGAGAAGAAGAAAGGAGGAGGAGGAGGATTTTAGTTCTTGGATGATGAAACTTCTTCCTCAAGGGGAAAAAACAGTCCCAGCTGCCTTTTGAAAAAGCTCCTCTGAGACAACTATTGCCGTGTCTGTTTTGTAAGGCTGCCGTCCGTTCTTCTCTGCAGGTTGTGATACGGTGCTGGACTGGCTTCGGCGCTCATATTGGAGCTGCCAGCTGGGCAATAGCTTAGTCGAAGAAGGTGGGGAGGAAACGGAAGAATCGTCAGAAGCGGATGGCGAGGATGAGATGGACAGCGGTCAAGAAGATCCGGAGAAGGCGCTGGATGAGCAGAAACACCAGGAACTCTGTGGTGGGTGTGTTCACGTCTGCCTGCTCTTTCTCCTTTCTGCACTTCCTGTGGTTTCTAAAGACTTCTTTTATTTTTTCCCCCAATTTCTCTTCCCCTAGGAAAAGTCAGAGATGTTTTGACCTCCTTTAATAACCAGCAACTTGAGGTGAGCTCTGCAGATTCTTTATCAGGCCACCAATTTTTGTTTCCATTGGAAATTGATTAACTGTAAGTGGGGAAAAAAATAAAGTATACGTTCAAAATATTTTGCTTTGATTAAAATGTTGTCCAGGTAGCCCTCGATGTACGACCACAATTGAGCCCCAACTTTATGTCGCTAAGCAAGACATTTCCTAAGTGACTTTTGCCCCCATTTTATGACCTTTTTGGCCACAGCTGCTAAGCGAATCTCTGCAGTCGTTAAGTTAAATGTTTGTTAAGTGAATCTGGTGTGTCCCTTGGCTTTGCTTGTCGGAAGGTGGCCAAAGGAGATCACATGATCCCGGGACACTGCAATTGTCATGAATCAGTTGCTAAGCATCTGAATTTTGATCGTCTGATCACGGGGATGCTGCAACGGTCGTAAGCGTGAAAAACGGTCATAAGTCGCTTTTTTCAGCGATGTAACTTTGAACGGTCCCTAAATGAACTGTTGTAAGTCGAGGACTGACTGCAGTTTCGGTTTTCTGATGCAAGGACAAAGCAAAGTCTCCTGATTCATTCAACTCAACTTACAGCCGGTGGCTTAGCAACCATTCAAAATTCCAACCTACCTGAAAAAGGGGACTTACGACCTGGATCCGAAGTTCTTACTGTCACACAAACACACACCCACAGTCACATGACCGCACCTTGGGCACTCAGCAACACAGCTGCCTATACAGCCGTTTGCAGTATCCCACGATTACATGACCATTTTTTTTATGGTGGTTTTGGTGCAAACCAGCGCTTCCAGTTTGGGGCAAAACCACATCTACAGCAAACAAGGGGATCCCACTTAACAACCGTAGGCTAAAACATATAAGAAAAGGTTGCTGGAATTGGGTATGTCTAGTCTAATGAAGAGAAGGAAGAGGGGTGACAGGATAGCAGCCTTCCAATATCTCAGGGGCTGCCCCAAAGAAGAGGGAGTCAAGCTATTCTCCAAAGCGCCTGAAGGCAGGACAAGAAGCAACGGATGGAAACTCATCAAGGAGAGAAGCAACCTAGAACTAAGGAGAAACTTCCTGACAGTGAGAACAATTAACCAGTGGAACAACATGCCAGGTTGTGCTTCTTGATGTGCTTCTTCTTCATTCTTGCCTTAGGTCCTCCGACAGCAGCCAGATGTCAACCAAGCCTGCAAAATTTGGAGCACAGCTACTTCAGAGGTGGAGTGGGTCGTGGCCCAGATGAAAGATTTATTACAAGAAAATAGGTATGTAGATTTCAGCTCCTAGAATTCCTGAGTCAGTCATAACCATCTCCCTTGTGGGTTTTTTTAACATCCCTGCAAGTAAAAAAACCTACTGAAATAAGAAGAAAGTATCTTGTCTCGTTGCGTCTTCTCCTTTTGTGCTGGTTTTTTTCCCCTTTTTTAAAAAAATATGAGATTCAGAGAGTGCTGACTGAAGCAGTAGAGGCTGTTTTATCCTCAAAGCCTGGATGTGCATATAAGAAGAAGTAGATTCCCATTTAAGGCTAGGTTTTTAGAAGTCTGTTTCTTCTTGGGGATTTTTTTTTTTTTGCCTTATAAATACATATTTCAGATTTTAGGATCGGTTGGAATGCACTTAGGAGCAATTCTCTGTATAGTAGAAATGCAGCCAAACCACATGCAGGGTTGCATCAATGAAATGGAAGAGAGCAGAAGAGGCAGTAGAAACCCAGCCTCTAAGACTGAACATGTCACTGAGTTTCGCCTCATTTTACAGCCTCTTTTGCTGTGGTCATTAAACAAATCACAGTTTGTTAAATCACTTAACAATAAACGGGCATCTCTCATTGACTTTGTTGGAAGCTGTGGGAAGGTGATTGCATGACTGCCTGTAGAAGAGGGGAGGACCAAATCAACAGAAATTACTAAAATACACCCCAGACTTAACAATTGTCAATAACAAATCCCAAACGTCTGGATGGTGGATGTGGCAATATCTAGAGACAGCAGAACAGAAGAGACAGGACTGGACAAGATAACAAAATGCAAAGACCTGCAGATAGAAAGAGAACAACTGTGGGAAAAGAAAGCAAAGGCAATACCAATAGGGATAGGCACCTTGGGTGCGATCCCAAAAGATCTCGATCAACACTTGAACATTGTGGGCATTGACAAAATCACCATCGGTCAATTTCAAAAGGCAGCTTCACTTGGAACAGCTTAAATCCTGTGACGGTATCTTTAATATCATTGAACAGCGACATCTGCCTATCTCAGGTCCTTGGGAAGGACTCCATAGATGGACAAAAATCCGGTCTGAACATCTGGCTGATTGTGTGATAAGCCATAATAATAAATGAGGGAGGGAGGAAAAAAGGGCTTGGACAATACTGGACAATACTGACTGGACTTTACAATTCCTATAGGGAAGTTGTGGCTAAGACATTGCTTGAAGAAGGCTTTCTCATTCCCACCGCTGACACTTTGCAGATCTTGAATATTCATCCTCAAGGTTGGTATACCAAGTTGTTTTTTCCCCCCTTGGTCAAGCAAGCAAAGTTCTTCAACCATTGGCTGTTCAAAATCTGTGCAGATCACCCGCACTGGATCCTGGCAATCGATTTAATTGTCTGTGCAGTGTTGCCATTCCATTCAAACACTCAAAAGCGATTACTTGGTTAAGATAAAAACCAAAGCCATGAAACGTCAAATAGGTAGGATTTCCGGGGCTAAAAAGAGAGGTTTTAACTCAGTGGTTCTCAACCTATGGGTCGCGACCCCATTTGGGGTCGATCGACCATTTCACGGGGGTCGCCAAGCAAGGCTGTCCGCCATTTTTTTTCCTCTTTTCCGGCGGGTGCCTTACCTCCCTTGGGCTGGGCCAGCTGGTGGTCGGCCTGCTCCGTCTCTGCCACTTGCCAGCTACGCCTCGGCCGGCGCAGGGGGCGGAACCGCGCATGCGCAGCGCTCCCGGGCAGGGAAAGTCCTCAACGTACGACCGGTTGGGTAGTCCTCGACTTACGACCGGTTTAGTCCTCGACATACGACCGGTTTAGTCCTCGACTTACGACCGGTTTAGTCCTCGACTTACGACCGGTTGGGGGTCGCAGCATTAAAAAGGTTGAGAACCACTGTTTTAACTGATTTTTTTTAAAGATACGGGTTTTCATTTTAATTTAATCGACTGAAACTACCGAACGCTGTTTACTACATGCCAGATCAGCAGGACCCTGAAAGGTTCCTCTTGCAGGTTGTAACTTTCAGGCAGAGAGACGCATGGTCCCTTCGCTAACATCTCAAATAATAGAAAGAAACCATGATCTGTAGCGAAAAATGAGTTCATATCAGTGAATGATTCAAAAATTCAAGAGGACTGAGTATCGTTGCTCATATATATAATATTCGTTTTTTACAATTATTTTTCTTCCCTGCTCTTCTTCTGCCTTGTCGTTCGGAGTGCAGAAACTCACAAGTGGGATTTCAGAATCCCTCGAGCCGTTCTTCGTTTCTGGCAGCCCCTGCTGGGAAGTTTGCACTCCAGACATTTCACTCAGACTCTGCTGGAGAAAATGTTTAATGATTTGAAGGCCCACGCAAGGATCTCGTCACTTCGGTCCCAGTACCTCATCAACTGGATCACAAAAATTCTGAAGGCTAACTTGCGAGCTAGTAAGTATCGGGACGTGTTCGGACAAGATTTAAGATTTGGCATTATTCTCTTTATCGGTGTGGGGGACTGATGAAAAACACAACTGGGGACTAGTCAAGTTTTCCCGCAGATTTTTTTTGACATGGCCTTTCATGGAATCTCCGCAAAAGAAATACTGGAAAAGCTCAAAATTGCAATTGAGGCGTGAATACCAGGTTGTTGTTAGCTGCAAAGTCGTGTCTGACCCATCGCGACCCCATGGACAACGTTCCTCCAGGCCTTCCTGCCCTCTACCATCTTCTGGAGTCCATTTAAGCTCACATCTCCTGCTTCAGTGACTCCATCCAGCCACCTCATTCTCTGTCGTCCCCTTCTTCTCTTGCCCTCCATCTTTCCCAGCATTAGGCTCTTCTCCAGTGAGTCCTTCCTTCTCATTAGGTGGCCAAAGTACTTGAGTTTCAACTTCAGGATCTGGCCTTCTAAAGAGCAGTCGGGGTTGATCTCCTCTAGGACTGACCGGTTNAGTTCAAAGGCCTCCATTCTTTGGCGCTCATCCTTTCTTATGGTCCAACTTTCACAGCCGTGCATTCCAACTGGGCGAACCATGGCCTTGTCTATACGCACTTTTGTTGGCAGGGTGATGTCTCTGCTTTTTAGTATGCTGTCTAGATTTGCCATAGCTTTCCTCCCTTAAAAAAGCATGGCAGCTAATTTGGAAAAACCATTAGCAGAAAAACAGGTTGCGTGATGCTCCAGTGAAAGGTTTTGTGTTCTGCAAAAAAAAAAAAAATATCCTCACTTATCAAATGCATGAAAATACTAAAACTTAAAAGTAAATTGCAATTTAGCAAAGATGTAAGATACCAGCCTTACCAGGACGGCAATCGAGCAGAGGGTGCATTAAGCACCAGTACACTTTGTGAATATGTTTGTGGTATTTTTTTTTTTACCACATTTGTGAAGCAGGCTGTGTTCTGAAAGCTTGTCTTGAAAACAAGTCGACAACAGCTTTCCAGATTCGGTTGTGACCAGCGAGCGGTCTGTCCTTTGGCCACTGATTCAACACGTTAAAAGAGAGCATAGAAATGGGTGAAGTTATTGGCCAGCGATGTGCTTTGCAGTGTCTCCTTTTTGGGGTTTGGGTTCCAGATAACTTTGCAGAATAAAAAAAAAGCCTTCACCGGAGCATCGCGCAACCTGTTTTTCAGCTGATGGGGGTTTTTTTTCTCCAAATTAACTGCTGTGCTTTTAAAAAATAAAAACCGGGCATTAACGCCTCAGTTGCAATTGGGTTAGTTAAAGCTTTCCAACTCATCAGTTTCCTGATTGCTGCTTTGGCAATGTTACACAGGTAGTCCTCGATTTACAACAGTTCATTTAGTGACTGTTTTGGAGTTACAGCGGCACTGGAAAAAAAAGCGATTATGCCTTTTTCTCAAACTTAACCCCTTTTGCAACATTCCCATGGTCTCGTGATCAGAATTCAGGCGCTCGGCAAATGACTCATATTTATGACGGTCGCAGCGTCCCGGGGTCATGTGATCCCCTTTTGCGACCTTCTGACAGGCAAAATCAATGGGGAAGCCAGAAGAGGGAGTGAAGCTATTTTCCAAACTGGACAGCCATTTGTCCGAAATGGTATAGGGTTTCCTGCCTGAGCAGGGGGTGGGACTAGATGACCTCCAAGGTCCCTTCCAACTTTTATTATTATTATTATTATTATTATTATTATTATTATTATTATTATTATTATTATTGTGTTACTAGCCTAACAGCTGCAGGGATTCATTTAACAACTGTAGCAAGAGAGGTCGTAAAATGGGGCAAAACTCACTTAACGTATGTCTCACTTAGCAACAGGAATTTGGGGCTCAATTGTGGCTGTACATTGAGGACTACCCGCATACACCAAAAGAGAGCAAGTTGAACTCTGCACATGCTTTGGGAAGCATCCATTATTGTTCAGCCTAAGCTGCCAAGCCGTAAATAGCGATCATCTGTTTGCATCAAAACGAACGTTGGACTTTCACAGCACTAGACTGAAGGGTTGAAGTCTAGCTGGATAGTTCAGTATGTTGTTGCCCGCACTCACCCAGTGTGGTTGTGTTGTGTGAACCCTAAACAACAGCCATGATTAACTGAAACATGAAAGTGAATGTCTGTGGAGAGTCTCAGTCCTCCAGGTCCTGGTTGTCTCAAAGATTTTTTTTTCAAGAGGCAACAATGGACTTTCTTGTTTTTCCTTGAAGATGTTTCGCTTCTCATCCAAGAAGCTTCTTCAGTTCTGACTGAATGGTGGGGAATGGAAGGATTTATATTCCTTGCTGCTAACGACCGGATGATTGCGAGAGGTACAAATCCTTCCATTCCCCACCATTCAGTCAGAACAGAAGAAGCTTAAATATGGACTATGGCAATAAATGATAAATTAACAACAGAAATTAAATTTAAAAAAGGGACGATTAAAGTAAATAATTATAATGAAATATGGGATGATTTTATAAAAAGAGTCTTGGTGGAAGGCAAAGGGAATAAACCTGCTCAAGAATTGAAATATATTGTACATTGTTAGTTGTTATACGAGAAGAAATATAGGTAATAAAAATGGTCTCCAGGGGTGTGGGTGCACTGTAGTATTTGTATTTTTATACTGTTTTTTATTTAGATTTATATGTGTTGTGTTTGTATTATTTGTATTTGAATAAAATAAAATTTAAAAAATTTAGAAAAAAAAAGAACTGAAGAAGCTTCTTGGATGAGAAGTGAAACATCTTCAAGGAAAAACAAGAGGAAGTCCAGTGGTCTTTTGAAAAAGGACAGATAAAATGGCGCACAGAGAAGCTAAAAGGTTCAAAATTGGAGTTCCAGAAGTGATGAAAGTTAATTCAAGTGCGGGGTAGGAACGCCAGACTGGACATGGATCCAGCGCATCAGCTTTGGCCAAGTGACATGCTCTGGTCTCCTTCCCCTGCTCCCCTTTTATAGGCAGAACTGGGGTTCAAAAGTGGGAAGTGACCCCGTGCAACACGAGAAGGCAACTGTGTTTGTGACATCTGAACTTCAACCTGTACCTTTTTCGCCTCTCATCTTCTCTTGAGTTTGGTAGTGAGAACCTTCCTTCCTGTTGTTGTTTTTTTTCTTTCTTTCCATGATTCTGGATTAAGAAAAGAAGTTAAAGTCTTCCAAAGCCCAGAAGAAACGAAGGTGCCTGAGATTATTTCACCACCACATCTCATTACAGTGGCTGAAGCTTCTCAGAGATTGCCTAGACGCGCCGTGCTGGGCAAGTCCTCACCTCCTGCATCTGTAAGTCCGTGAGTGGGGTGGGTCTGGGGCCACAGAGTGGGCTTGGTGGTTCTGGGGCAGGGGAGAGTGAGAGGAAGGAAAGCTTTGGACCTCAGTTGCCTGTCACCGTTTTTCAAAGGCCCAAATTGAATTCCGGAAAGTCTTAGAAAAGGCTCATTTTTGAGAGTCCATCAGAGGACTTTCAGTCAGTCAGTACTTCACTATTTTTTTTTTCAGTCGTTGGGCCACTAAAAAAAGGTTCAAAAAGTTTACAACGCTGAAAAAAGTGACTTATGACCATTTTTCACACTTATGACCATTGCAACATCCCCATGGGCACGTGATCAAAATTCAGACGCTTGGCTACTGACTCATATTTATGACGGTCGCAGGGTCCCCCGGGGGTCACGTGATCCCCTTTGGCGGCCTTTTGACAAGCAAAGTCAACGGGGGAGCCAGATTTACTTAACAACCGCGTTACTAGCTTAACGGCTGCGGCGATTCCCTTAACAACTGTGGCGAGAAAGGTCGTAAAATGAGGCAAAACTCACTTATTAACAAAGGTTTCACTTAGCAACCTACATTTTCAGCTCAATTGTGGTCATAAGCCAAGGACTACCTGTCATGGTTCCGACAGATGAAACTCTTCAAAGAACTCTGAGGCATTGTTTACCTTAAAGAATCTTTATTCGAGTAGCGTAGCATACACAGGCAAAGCCAAAATTTGAATTCCCCTCCCCTGAGCACATAGTATCAAAGCACAATTCCCTCCTCCAATTAACAGTCATAAATCACATTCTCCAGTTAGTTTGAAATGCAGGCTTTTCCTCTGGGGCCATTTCTTATCTCTTATTTCAAGAACCTTGGTTCTCACCCTAGTTACAATATTGTTATGTCTAACTAATCTCCCGTGCACATTCCTCCTCCTCCCCCCCCCAGTATCATCTAATTGTAACTCTAATTCTAAGAGTAAACCATAAGAAGGAAAATGGCTGCATCTCCATATGCTGTCAAAGCAAGAACATCCGGTGTTAGCAGCGTTGACGCTACCTGTACAGATCGGGTGTCCGTGAAATCCCAGGCACAGTTTTGAATCCTGCGCGAAGTATTTATTTATTTATTATTTAAATTTATATACCGCCCTATCTCCCTTACGGGACTCGGCGGTGAACAGGCAATAATAAAAATCACAATAAATATTGAATAAAAAGCCTGCTCTAAAATACCCCATATAAAACCCCTAGCAAAGCCCAATCAAAACTACGCCAGGCCGGCCGCACGGAATAGATGGGTTTTCAAGGCTCGGCGGAAGAGGCGCAGGTCCGTAGTTGTACGTAGGTCGGGGGGGTAGGTCATTCCAGAGGGCAGGAGCTGCCACAGAGAAGGCTCTGCCCCTGGGGGTCGCCAGCCGGCATTGACTGGCCGACGGCACCCTAAGGAGGCCCTCTCTGTGGGAGCGGACTGGTCGAAGTAGTTGGATTCAGACAGCTTTATGTCCCCGGTCCATCCGAAAGCGGTCTTCTTTCGCTCTTCTGCTCTTTCCCTTTTTTTCTTTTTTTTTTGCTTGCCAGGATTCTGTTGAGCATGGAGCCCCCGTTGCCAGCTGAAGCTCAAGAGAAGCTCCTCTGCCTGACCTCCATTTACACCCAAGAAGATGGCTCCTTCCCCAGTTCTGGCTCCACACCGGACGTTTGCAAGCAGCCCGTTTACACCGTGGAGAGTTTGCTGAAGCTCAATGCCACTGCCGCCCACAAATTCTTGAAGAAGGCAGGGCGGACGGAGGTGTTTCCGGGATCGGTTAAAGAGAAAGGGTTGGTTGGGGAGGAGGAGGAGGAGGAAGAAGAGATGGACACTCAGCCATCCTCACAGCAAGAGCCTCTTTTCCTGGAAGACCCAGCGGCTTTGGCTGAAAGACGGAAGGCCCTGGAGGGCGGGCTCTGGCAAGTCGGCTCAGGTAAAACCTGGCTTCCAATCCGTTGGACTTGGCCAATTTGGCACGTTGAGGGCAAGAAATAGGCCTGAGTGCTGCGTGGTTGATCTCTGGATGCCTTGTGTAATCCTGCGGTTGGAAGGAGCGGAACTAGAGGAATGGCGAAGGGCAGGAGGAAAGGAACGTAGAGCTTAGATCAGGGGTCCTCAACCTTGGCCACTTTAAGACTTGGGGACTTCAACTCCCAGAATTCCTCAGCCAGCAAAGCTGGCTGAGGAATTCTGGGAGTTGAAGTCCCCAAGTCTTAAAGTGGCCAAGGTTGAGGACCCCTGGCTTAGATGATAGTAATAACAATAATAAGTGTCTTTGGGTAATGAGATACCCCTTTTCATAGCACCTGTCTGCAGACTAGAGCAGGCATCTCCAGCCTCTGCACAGGAGCTTCTGAACATGGTTAAACCACAAACCACCATTGTTAGTTGAACTGAGCGAAGTAAACCATAACTGGTGTGAAGTTAGATGGGAGCAGGGTTTCTACTCTGTTCAGTGCGTTCTTGGGAGGTAAAGCAACATGGGTGAGTAAGCCTTCCCTCCCTCCCTTCCTTCCTCTCTCCCTTCCTTCCTCCCTCCCTCCCTTTCCCTCCTTCCCTCCCTCTCCCTTCCTTCCATTTTTTCTTTTTCTTTCCTTTCTTTCCTTTTTTCCTTTTCCTTTTTTTTTTCTTTTTTTTTTCCTTTTTTCCTTTTTCTTTTTCTTTCTTTCCCTTCCTTTTTTTTTCTTTTCTTTCTTTCCTTTTCTTGACCCTTCCCATCCTCTAAGACAAGAGTTCCCCAACCTTTCCAGGTTGGCGGCCCAAAGCAAGGAGCAAAGGGGGATGATTTTGTAGGCGGGGCAGGCGCATGTGTGCGTGCGCGAGTGCCTGTGATGACGCTCACGTGAGTGGGGGCCACAAACGCCTCATGGCACCAGTCACGAGTGCGGCCGTGCATGCTGGCGCAGATGCGCATGTGCTGGCCGGCCACTCACGCGGCCTGGTGGCGGTTAGGCTGCGGCCCAGTAGTGGGCCCAGGCCCACAGGTTGGGGATCCCTGCTCTAAGATCCAAGCTGCTATTGGACAAAAGGAGCCTGGGGGTGTGCCACTGATAACTTCCTATTGCTATGATATCTCTCGGGCAGTTACTCATTTAGGTTTCCCAGCCTACGGTTGATCACCCAGGCTTCTAACCATATCTAGAAAACCTACTGTCAGTTCAGGCTTATCCCCAGTTAGATTACTTGCAGGGCATCCTGTCTCCAACTGCCTGTGCTTGTTCTGTAATATCCAGCAGAGTTGGCATGCTTTGGGTTCTTCTCTCAAATAAGTCACCTAGTGGGACCCAGGCGGTGTAGCTTCTCTGTTGAGGACCTGCCATATGGAACATCATGTTCAGGTGGCTGTGACTCCTCCTGTCCTTCCACACTGGGCACACCATGGATTAGACTGAAAAGGTTTGGTTCCAAGATGGGACCAAAGAGCAGAAGACCGAGGCAGCCTATCCCATTTTCAAATTGGTATCAAAGCACTCTGAGAGTTGAAGTCCACAGGTCTAAAAGTTGCCAAGTTTGGACCCTCCTGCTCTAGACTGTTCCCTTTTGGCTCAGTGCAGTGTTTGAATTCAGCGCCTGTGACCTCCTGGGTGAGCTCTATCCATTGTTGGCTGTGCTTGGTCTTGCTAAAGTCTATCCATTTCCCCCCCCACACACACACAGTTGAACTGAAATGGAGACATTTTCCCCTGGGAAAACTACCCGATCAAACGGATGATCCCGACACCCTGCTAGTGGATAACTACACCACGATGTCGGCTCTTGATCAGCTGGAAAACGGAGACAGGAAAAATTCCAGCAACATGTGAGTATTGTCCTAGAGTTGGGGAAATGTCTATTGTTGGAGAAGAGTTAATGTTACCCCTTGGAGAAGGAAGGAGGCTGGTTCAATCCTGGCTGAATAATAGTGATTAATGAGGAAGGCCTGCCATTTAACATTTGAGATGACTCTAGGCAGGGGTTCCCAACTGGAGGATGCGAGACAATATTCTGTTGTTAGTTGCGAAGTCGTGTCTGACCTATCGCAACCCCATGGACAATGTTCCTCCAGGCCTTCCTGCCCTCTGCCATCTTCTGGAGTCCATTTAAGCTCAGGCCTCCTGCTTCAGTGACTCCATCTAGCCACCTCATTCTCTGTCATTGTCCCCTTCTTCTATTGCCCTCCATCTTTCCCAGCATCAGGCTCTTCTCCAGTGAGTCCTTCCTTCTCATTCGGTGGCCAAAGTACTTGAGTTTCAACTTCAGGATCTGGCCTTCTAAAGAGCAGTCAGGGTTATACATTTATACAGCTGTCCAACTCAAACACAACGTCGGCAGCATACAACAAAAATAATCAAAAGAATCCTTGTTAAAAATAATCCGTGGGTAAAATGGTTCTGATAAATTATTTATTTTTATGTAAAACATGTATCTAGCCGATCATTTTGACCTCACAGTCCCAAAATAAACTATGTCTATCTGCAATAAATTGTCGTTCAGTCAGATTCAGGCCTGGATGGCTTCCCCTTCTTTCAGTCTGAACTAAATAAACCAGATCAAATTTTCCTACTCCCTCATTGGAATCTTCTAACTCTCCAAAATCTCCCTAAGGAAGCTCGGATGACGGGAGCGAATGGGTCAGTTCCATTATATGTCAGGTGCCCCTCCATTTCCTGGAGGAGATGGGTGTTCCTTTTCGCCAGTTTTGGCCACGTGATGTAACCACACTTGGTGAAATAATTGTGTGCCTTGGTTCTTCCACGTCATTGTGGTCCTGTTCTTTTTCCTACAGCTCATCAGAATGGTCTGGCTTTCTTACGGCGGGACTCTTATGGACCCAGAGTGAGCTTCATAAATTAAAGAGTGGGATTCAGCTTTTTTGAGCGGGAGATTCTGCGCCAATGATACAACACAACGAGAGGTTTTCCTTGCTACTCCAGGAAGAATGCCGTGCCTGCTCTTGGCAAAGTTCTTTGGGGGCAACGCAGCTACTTCTCCACCGTAGATCGTTCCTCCTGGACATTTAAGGGAAGCAGGCACACTTAATCCACCCGACAGATCTACCCATTGCTTAAATTCATTTTTGTATTTTAATAAAATAATTAAACGTTTTAATATTTTTAATGTGCTTTTTATTTTTTTTTTTAAAAAAAGCATGGGATCCATAAATTTGTATGGCGCATCATTGTTGCTATGTTAGGTTCTCTTAAGATTTTAAGAAAAGCAACTTTAAAATATATACATCTTTATTCGTCCCAGATCTGGATTTCGGAACGCGTGTTAAGCTTATTGTGAAGGCACCTATGAGACCGCAAGTGGGTTTTCGCTTTGTTATTTTACAAAGAGGAAACAAACAAGCTGTTTTAGAGCCTGAGCCAGTGGATCATTTATTGAATACACATGAATACCTGGATATAAAGCATCTCTACAAAGGGTGTTACACAGAAATTGGAACAATTCCAACGGTAGGGAAAAGTCCTAAGATAAGGATTGAATAAACATTCCTACCCAGACTGGTCCCTAGAAACTAAAGCTTCAAGCAGGGCTAGATTGGTACACAGGTGAAGTGCTTGTCAGCATCCTCCAAAGACTCTGCAAGAACAAAGCACATCCATGGAGAAGCAACAGCCTAGGAAAGATGATAAAGCAGTGTTTCTCAACCTTGACAATTTTAAGGCATATGGACTTCAACTCCCAGAATTCCACAGCCAGCAATGCTGGCTGTGGAATTCTGGGAGTTGAAGTCCATATGCCTTAAAATTGTCAAGGTTGAGAAACACTGTGATAAACGGACGCCATCCAACAACAAACCCTATTCATTCAAAGATTGTGTTAGGGCTCTTGCAAAGCCACACAAGGTAGTTCACTTACTAAACTGGAGGGCACTACTGGGGCGTGTCTTCTAACGAGGTCCAATGTGCTAAGCATTCAGTAGTTAGGTTATTTGTACCGTTTTCTCGCTCTTATTTGGCGGCTCAGACTACAGCATTAAGTCAAGTTGGCCATCGGTCAACAGAGCCACAAAAACTTCCTCCCTCGAGTACGCCTGCACACCGATGGCTGCTACTGGCAGAGGGGAAGAGGCATTCAACGCAGTGGCAACAAGTGTATTCGCTCTGTGGTCAGTGACCACCAGGAAGCAACCGAGATAACTTCAGGCCAAGTTAGAAACATCACTGGTTTGATAAGGAGATACTTTACAACCAACTCATGCAAATATAGGTCAATGCAATATGCAAAAGCGTGAACTGTCTTGTAAAGGGGGGAAAAAACAGGGATCTCTCCCGGAAGCTGATGCTTTGGGGCTTATCACGACCGTTTCAATTAAAAAAACATGCTTTCTTAAAAAGAAAGGCCTTGCCCATCAATGCATACATGCAGCTACAGATAAAAGCACCTGAAGATTATAGTATTCACAAGACATGCGTGTCAGCCCTGACCCAGAGCTAGTGACCTTTTCTGGTGCCCACGTTCCTTTTCTCTTATTCTGCATTCTAAAGAAGTGGTCGGGGCTACCACTTGTAGATATACACTCTGCTCCTCGCACTTCTAAAAGCTATTGTCACGTCTCTCACTGCAGGGATGCTCAACTTTATGACCTGTGGGCCTTCAACTCCCTGAAGGAATTCTGGGAGTTGAAGTCCACAGGTCATAAAAGTTGCCACTCCTGTCTTACTGGATCAGGGCAATTAAAGTATATCTTCGTTCTTTGTCATTGAGACTTACCTTATATTTGGGTCAACAGAAAAAAACCCAAAGATTTATATATATATACACATATTTTTAGGGGGAACAATTAAAGAGTAACAGGTAATTCTATCAATGAAAAAAGTAAAATGTTGTAAATATTACAATGGGACTAACCGTAGTTAGAAGCTATACAAGCAAAAAAAAGAACTGCTAAATATTTACAAAATCACCGAAGCTCACATTTCAAAATTATTTCATGTCCCCCAGTTCTCAGTAGCTAAGCAAACAGTATTAAGCATTGATATAACAATGTATTACAGAAAATTCAAATGCAAATAAATACTTTATAGGATGGGATTTTCTAGTTTTTCAAGATTGATAAAAGATACCATACTGATACACAAAATAAATAAATAAATACATACATACATACATACATACTGTGCTCTCAAAAAGAGCATTTTAAAGCAAAATGTATTTACAATATAGGCAAGTTGTGATTTTTATATATATATATACCGTCCCTTCTATATAAGAAGAAATTCAGCATTGAGAGACAAAGGCAGTGAAATGTCAGTTTTGGAACTGGTATTGAAAAAGTCCAGACAGAAAGAAGTAAATTGATTTAACAAATGTTACAACAGTTTCAGAGAAAAATAATTAGCAGCAAAAAACAAAACAAAAACCAGATACTATTTTAAAATTGCCATTCTCTCCTTGCTTTTACAGAGTAGATTTTGAAATCTTTTTTTTTTTTTTACAAAAAGGGAATTCCTTCTTTGAGGAAAAGAGGTGCTACAGATAGTATACAACTTCCTCTCCATAGCATTTTCCCAAGAAAGCACACAAGAGACTTGTAACATTTTAATATATTGCTAACAATATGTAGTATATAATATATAGCTTTTACTGACAGTAAAATATTTTCATCCTTAATTTTTTTAAAAAAATTCATGCAGTAGCTTTTTTTTCAGCATTCTGTGTGCTGAAAGAGTCTGCTAGAATTGTCTACAAGATTACGACGGGTAAAATGGGAAACACCTATTGTATACATATAGAAACTGAATTGCATGCAAAAAATTGTGAGCACACAAAATTTCACACCGAACTGAAAAGCCATACTTCTGTAATTATCCTGTTAAAAACAAAAGCAGATGTGTAGCACTTTTACTGTCAATAGCCATGTATAAATATGAACATCAGCCTTATGAACGCGAGTATTTTACAAAAAAAAATTCTCTGCGAGACTGTATTAATAAATAGACAATGTGTAATTTATGCAGCATAATGCTCTTAAAATGCACACACATTAGCGGTGCGCCTTACAGTAGTAAAATGGAATTCAAAATTTGCCTGTTATTTTGTTTTCTATAAACCGTTAAGTGCCCATTTTAAATAAAAAGATTTATAATCCTCCATGAGCTACTCCCCTTTGACACACAGTGTCACAAACATAGTGATGAAAGTACAATATTGAGCTAATCTAGAGATGGCTTTTATACATTTTTTTTTTATACAATCAAGAAAGATACAATTTGTATCAACAAACAAAAAGTCGTTTCTGGTTATTTGAGGTGTTGCTCTCAGCTACTTTTAAAAGAGAAGAAATCTAAAAAAAAAAAAATAGGGTTTTGTCCTCATTGATAAAGGGGTCTAGATAACTCCTTCACAACTAAAAATTGCGAAGAATATTCAGGGCGCGCAGATTAAACCAAAGGGCAAATCTGCATTTTTCTTCGGCGCTTCTTAAAGCGCCAGATAAAACTGGGAATGCTGGGATCTGCCTTGCGGTCTTGCTCAGCATGGTGCACCATCCAAACACAATCCAAAGCCACCGGTGTGCCAGCAGCAATTTGGAAAAAAGCCCCGCACCATGACAAATGCAGGGGTCATGTCAGGTGATCCACCAGCATTTTCCTACAGGGACATAAAGCCTGTCTTTCAAATCAGAAGGCAGCTTGGTGGAAGAGCAATCGTGCTACAGGCAGGTGACATCAACATCCCTTGTGGTGGGAAAGTTGTTAGAGGAATGAGTGTCATTTTTTTCTCTCTTAAAAGCCCTGTTTCTCAGACTTGGCAGTTTTAAGATGAGTGGACTTCAACTCCCAGGATTCATGCTGGCTGGGGAATTCTCGAAGCTGAAGCCCACGCTTCTCAAAAGCTGCCGAGGTTGAAGAACCCTACTCTGGAGAGATGCTACCCGCTAGGTCAGTGATGGCGAACCTTTTAGAGACCGAGTGCCCAAACTGCAACCCAAAACCCACTTATTTATCGCCGGGTGCCAGGTGGGCGTGGCTGTGGTGATCATGGCAGATTGGGTAGGTGTGGACAAGGTAAGCATGGTCACCTCGATGCTGCTCGTGGGGAGGGACACCTGTAGGGGCTGGGCAGGGTTGGGGAGATCCAGGGGGTCTCTGGCAGGTGGGGCGGTGGGCAGAAGGCTCATCCTGCGGGGTGAGGCGAGGCAAGGCGAGGCAGGGCGGGGGTGCCATTGTCACAGGGCAAGGTGAGGGCGGGGCGGCTGCTGCCTGACATATCGGCCCCTGCACACAGAGGCCAGAGAGCGCATGGGTGCTGGGATGGATCCGGCCATGTGAGACCTCGGTGAGTTAGCAGGCGGCTGGTTGAAGAGGGACGGTTGCCATCTCCGGGGCGTGGCACGTGTGCCCACAGAGAGGGCTCTGAGTGCCGCCTCTGGCACGCGTGTGCCATAGGTTCGCCACCACTGCGCTAGGTAGCCCTTTCCAATATGTTGAGCAGAAATCTCAAAAATCTAAACAAGTTCTTTCTTGTTAGTATCACTGCACAATTATGCTTGTGATGGACACGGAGATAGAATCACCACCTCGCCAGCTAGTAACATCATCCCTGTCTAGAGCCACCTTGAGTATCCTACTGGATGCCAAATGGAAATAAATTAGGCAGCCGTGCTGGGCATCGCCGGGAATTATTCCAGCCACATGAAACGCCCTTCACAACCCCCTATCCCCTGGGCCTAAAAACAAAAATTCAGAAAGCAGCTTGAAAGCCATTCTCAAAACACCAGAAACAACCCTGACGGCAGCCTCGCGTTCCACTTGTTTCCTAGTCAGAAACATTTTTTAGGCAGTGTCACACCTTCTCATGAAGAAACCCAAGGCCAGTAACTCGGCCTTCTCGGCATTCATGAAAAAAAACTACAGTAGAAGTCAACAAGTCCTAGCTCGAGAACGTATCGAGTTAGTAATGGTTCAAAATGTTCAAAGACACGTTTGGATTGAAAAAGGGTGTCCACTCAGTGCAGCTTTTTTTTTAAAAAAAAAAGAAAGAACATGGAAAAGCTAACTACACCTGGATAAACGCCTCTTCGGGGAGACATTTAGCTACAAAAGTTGCCCAGCTCTTGAGCAAAAATACCCAAACATTTGCCCAGATCATTTGAGCCAGTCAAACAGCTCCAAAGAAGCAAATGCCTGGATCCTCTGCATGGATCCGAAAGTGAAAAATCGAAACGGGTTTATCTACTCGGTAGCATCCTTGGGGAAACGACTACGTCTTCTAACGTCAACATTTAAACCAGGGGTAGTCAACCTTGGCTCTTTTATGACTCGTGGACTTCAACTCCCAGAATTCCTGAGCCAGCACAGCTGGCTCAGGAATTCTGGGAGTTGAAGTCCACGAGTCATAAAAGAGCCAAGGTTGACTACCCCTGATTTAAACCTTTTTTTAAAAAACAACGTGTTTACTCATTTCGTTCTTAGCTGTACTCGGGCCAAACTGAAATGTGAAATTTGATTTGGGATGCTACAATTGTAACCGCCTTTGCACCGTAAAGAATTGAATTGTACAATGAATCGTATTAATTGTACAATTAATCGCCTGCCAATTTTAGCCAGATTCACGTGGAAATGAGACGGTTCAGGTTTAGCTGAGAACTGTCCTACTTGCTTTCGTGTCATCTGTTTGACACGTCATGTCCCAAAGGGCATGACCTAAAGCCCCCCCCCAATCCAAAAGACCCCGTTAGTTGTGCATCCATGCAGTGGTGCTCCTGCCGATCTGCCTTTCCATTTTCCTCACTTGGAGAGCAAAGATTTCTCCAGGGTGCACAAACTGAGTTTCCCAGAGAACCAAGAGTCCTTCAGATCAGAGTTCCTCGCCATGATGGACCACTAAGACAGAGCAGCTGACTGGGCCTCGGAGAAGCTCTTTGAAAGAGATGGGCCAGAACGGGCCAACCTTCAGTGGGTGGGGGGGGGTGTTCAAATGCACACAGCGCATTTTCCTAGGAGCAGCCTGCCAGTTAACGCTGCAAACTACAAAACTCAACTCATGCAATATAATTGCTAACAAGTTTGAGGGACTCATTTCAAACATAGGACCTTTTTGGATTCAAGAAACAGTATATATCCATGCAAAAAGTCTGCACTTCCTGTAAAATACGCCTTTTTTTTAAAAAAAAAATAAATCCCAGCTTAAAAAAAAATTATTTAATACTTACTTATAATACAATCTGCTTTTTTTTTTTTTTTACAGAATTCTTCAAACACATAGTCAACGTAATTGCCAAAAACAATGTACAGAGAGTGGTATACCGGAGGCGGGAAACTGTTCCCAAAACAGAGAATATCTCTATAGGATCATGGGTGCCTCCTGCAGGACACGCTCGTCTCTGGTGCAGCCGGTATTTCTCCCCAGGAATTCCAAGGGATACCGTGCTAACGCCCTGTTCTCAGTTTGGCAACAATCATAGCTGCCAACTGCTGTGCGTCGGTCATGTGTGGATTCTTCTCCATCACGGAGAAGACGACGCCAGCAGGAAAAATATTACAGAGGTTCTTATAAGTTTGGTACTGATGCTCCGGGATAATACGTGGTTCTTGGGGCTCCCCACAAACCCCAATCCAAGGGTTATGCCAGAGTTGCTCCATCTTCTCGGGCATGCTCCTCACCATGACGGGCTCGTAACAGGGTTGCATGAGGTTGTTGCTCAAGGGATAGGAATGGTAGGAGTAGGCATCGGTTGCACACGGTAACGGATCCCAGCTGGCGTGCTGCTCTCGACAGAGCGGGGGCCTCTTCTGCCGAGTAGGGTTGCTTTCGTAAAGTCTCGAATCCGAAACACTGTCCATCCTTGTCATAACCAGCGCACGGCTCGGTTGGGCCGCGGCTGAGGATGGATGAACGTTTGGAGGTCCCGGGTAGTCCCCTGGGCAACTGGACCGTGCCCCGACAAGAGGGTGTTGGAGGTGTAGTGCTAAATGAGAAGCCGAATGCTTGCGCGGAATATGTTTGGGCCGTTCAGTGCCGTAGCTCTGAACCCTGGTTAAGCTCTCGTGATAGCCGTGAGAAAAAGGCTGAGGTCGGTTTTGCGGTGGAAGCCGAGGAACTTTAGCGTGATCCTCGGCACCCACATCTCCCACACCCAGGTACAGGTCGGTATACGAAGAGTAAGTGTCATTGCTGGCATGGCTTAAGCAACTGTCGGGACATGGGCTGGAATTCCTTGAGTAGATACCTTGGTCTAGCTCGACGCCGTAATAATCTGTGTTGTGGACGTTGCTAATGTTCAAACTGGAAAAGTCGTTGAGCATAGAATAATAGCCGTGGTCTCCCAAAGATTCGTACTTGGGGTATGGATCCGCGTAATTGATCGCAGCCCCGTGGCTATTGGTAACCAGGATTGGAGGATAGTGCATACTGGCCATGTGTTCCAGGGAGGATTTCTGATGGGCGAACTGAGAAGAAGACCCAGGCACGGGGCTACTCGCCGACCGAGCATTTAAGGCCCCGACCGCATGGCTTTTGGGAGGCGGAAGAGTTGGGACGCTTAACGCCGTCACAAGAGACGGGACGGAGCTGGCCTCAGGCTTCCGCATCATCGACAGCCGGTCCTCCGGTTCCATCACGACGGACCGGATGCTCGGATCAGACTGGCGTTTTGGAGGGTTGCGCTTCACCTCTGAAGGGTTCTCCCCCCCTTTGCAAAGGGTCGGCCCCGAGCCACATTTGGCCAAGGCGCCTTCGCTCATGGTTTTCACTGCAGATAATTTTGCACTGATGCGAAGCTCGTCGGCGACAGATCTCAAGGGCTGGTTTGTCCGTTCTGGGTGGTAATACTTACATTTGTGTCCATACGTGCATTTTTTCCCTGGAGGGGTGGGGGAGAAAAAAAGTCCTCTCTGATTAAGCCTGTTCCTTGCCAACTATATGTCTTAACTGGATAACCCTAATGAAATCTTTTGCTCTTACCACAAAAACGTAAAATTAAGACATTGGTATTTTCTTACATCATGAATAAAAGGCCCCACAAGTTTCCTTGTTAATAGATCCAAATTCTTGTCACGGTTTTAAGCCAAGGGACAATGCTCCATGAAGGCAGCTAGAGCAGGCCCCACAAATAAATATATTCATTTAAATGTTCACTCAAAATGAGGTATTAGAAAGCATCTTTCAGTCCTTTAATGTCCACTTGGAGTTATGAGATCTTAAATAAAGATCTTCCACATACATGTTATGAGATGTCAGCTAGTAAATGCTTTGGGGTTACAAACTCTCAGCTACATTAGAACACAGTTTGTTGTGATAGTGTTATTCTAAATGATTAAAGAGAATCATTAGTATCTATTCCTCTCTAAACAAAATGAATTTCTTGGCTGTAGATATAATTGAAACCCTAAAGGCAAGAGAGAGCAGAAAAACTAAGGCTTTACTCTCATACATCCATCTGATAATAACCCATGGATCATGAACTAGAGAAAGAGTATTTCTATGCTGCCTCCGGATTTTAAAAATTCAGAGTAAAATCTTGATTAGCCAATAAATTTAAATTGTATTTGCTTCAAAGTCGTACTACTTTACTACAATTATGAGGTGCAAATAACAGTAATGTAATTATTCAATATATTGATTGCTTATTTTAATGTTCCCCAACCTGGAGTCTTCCAAAGATTCAGGGGACTACAAATCTCTTAATTTTAAAAAAAATGTTGGTTAGGCAGTCTGAAAGTATTCCTCAAATCTTTAAAGCGTGGGGTCTCCAAACCTAGCAACTTAAAACTTGTGGACCTCCACTCCCAGAATTCCCCAATTAACCATGAGAACATGAGACCAAGTTTCTCCAAATCCCTCCAGTCACCTACTCACCATAAGGGCATGGTTGCTTTTTGTGTTCTGGAATAACTGGCTTTTTCCTTAAGAAGTTCTCAAGGCTAGGGCCGTGGCGTCCCAATGGGTCATCCGGTGGCATAAACCTAAAAAAAGGAAATGTAGTTAAACTTAACTGGCTAGCATTAATCTCTCTTTGACAAGCTTCCATCTGTTACTTCTTGTCCTGCCTTCAGGTGCTTTGGAGAACAGATGACATGATAGTCTTCCAAAAGTTGAGGGGCTATGACAGAGAAGTGGGGGTCAACCTATTCCCCAAAGCACCTGAGGGCAGGACAAGAAGAAACGGTTGGGAGATCATTAAAGAGATCCAGCCTAGAACTCGGGAGAAATTTCCTGTCAGTGAGAACAATTAATCAACGGCTTACTTCCAGAAGTTGTGGGTGCTCCATTACTGGAGGTTTTTAAGAAGAGAATGGACAGCCATTTGTCCAGAATTATATAGGGACTCCTGATTTAAGCAGGGGGTTGGACTAGAAGACCTCCAAGGTCCCTTCCAGCTTTGTTATTCTGCAATCTGTAAAGTAACCAGCATCCAGTGGGTAGGAAGGTCATACAATATTCTTAGATCAAATTGGCCACGACACAGACTTATTTACTATACTTATGTAGCGCACACTGAACACCGACCGTTGGTGGTTTAAAATATGGTTGCTGACTCTCAAACCAGCAACCTTTACTAACAAGCCAAGATCACAACCACTCTTGTGTTTTAGAAGGAGTGAGTTCAGACAGCAGCTTCTGCCGACAGAAATTTGGGGCTCAGTGGTGGTCGTAAGCCGAGGACTACCTGTAATAAGACTTGGTCCCACACCAAAAGAGGAGGAAGCCTCTCTAAGGAAGATTTGTGCACAATGAATGGTAGGAGGGGAACTAACATACTTGTCATTCACAAAGGAATACATGAGCAGCCGTTCCTCTATGAATTTCTTCCACTCTGGTTTTTCATTCTGAAGGTCGCGGTAATTGTCATTGGACACGATGATGCCGTCCGAGTCGTAGGCCAACTTCACTATAAAGCGGTCATCGTAGCAGACGACGCGTCTCCCTTGCACTCTCCGAGACGGGGTGAAGACGAGGATTTTTTCCTTCTCCAATTTGTGCAAGATTTCTTGGTCTGCAAAATTGGATTTGCATAAGAATGTTAAGATCAAGGGGCTCGGATAAAGAGCATTTATTACGGCTTGTCACTGTTGGCAGTTATATAACGATAGGGATTAATATGACCCATTTGGTTCATTGAGTTTATTTAATTCTTTTAGCTCAGGGGTCCATAACTTTTTTCCCAAGTTCTAGACCAGAGGACCCCGACCTTTTGGGCACCAGGGACCGGTTCCGTGGAGAGAGGTTTTTCCGTGGACCGGAGGGGCGTGGTTTCATGTACTGCCACAGATGGGGAGACCAGCTGGTTTGTGTGGACCGGTTTCTGGCATGCCACGGACCAGTGCCAGTCCACGGACCGGGGGTTGGGGACCCTTTTTCTAGACCACACTTGGCTTTAAAAGTAAAAAAAAATAGGCTTGAGTTGATTCATATTTAAACTTAATTAATACTTTCTACATTATGTACGCAATCCTGTTTCACTTTCTCATATGAAAAAAAGTACTTTTTGACAAGATAATTTTCTCTGGGGCCATACCCCAAGTTTGGGGAGCACATGTAGCAGATCAGTGGCTTAGATGCTACGGGAATCTAAGATACATTTAAGGATCCTGGCAGTATTTTATAGAATTTACATATACTTATAACATTTCTAGTCATACCATAATCATCATTTCCCCAGGCTATTAAGTTTACATCATAACATATGGGATAATTTTTAAGAAGATATTATGGGTGGCAAAATGGTATCTTGTCTGCTGTGAATTACTCATGACACCAACGGACTTTGGGGTGATTTAAGCCTGTAATTAGGTTCCCTCTGGCCTTGACCCATCAAGTACTTGTCTACATTTCTTTCCAAATATCTAAGGGGCTTTGAAAAGGTAGAGGGTGAAATAAGAACACGGAAAAGGATGAACGAAGTTATTACTTAAGCAGAATAAATAATCTGTAGTTCGCATACGGCTCCAACTTCTGAGGACCTCACTGAGAGCATGCCACTGAAATTCAGTGCAAATCATCTACTTTGGAGAGGGTAATTATTGCCAAGTTCTATATTCATTTATTCTAAAATAAGTGTTTATATCTCCAGTAGAATCAATGGGCTTGATTTTTCCCTTAAATCATTCTGATATACACAAAAAAAGCAGTTGTTTCTACTAATACCCCCCCCAGAGTCCTTTGGGGTTGATTTTCTGCTTCTTCATCATCAAGATCATCAAAAAAGAACTGTTGTTAAAAAACAAATGTTTATTTATTTATTTATTTATTAATCGCACTTATACCCCGCCCTTCTCCCAAAGGACTCAGGGCGGCTTACAGCCAATTTAAAACAAATTAACAATACAATATACAAATTTAAAATGTGGTTAAAATAAAATATTAATATAGGCCTTTCTTTTTTAAAACTATTTAAAAACCAAATTTAAAATACCCCTTAGGCCAGTCCTGCCAGCTGAAATAACCATGTCTTGAGGGCGCGGCGGAAGGAGGGGAGATCCGGAATCACCCAGATCTCTGGGGGTAGTTCGTTCCAGAGGGTGGGGGCTCCAACAGAGAAGGCTCTCCCCCTGGGGGTCGCCAACTGACACTGTCTGGCTGACGGCACCCTGAGGAGACCCTCTCTGTGGGAGCGTATCGGCCGGTGAGAGGTAATCTGTGGCAGAAGGCGGTCTCGGAGATAACCAGGTCCGATGCCATGGCGCGCTTTAAAGATGATAATCAACACCTTGAAGCGCACCCGGAAGGCCACAGGCAGCCAGTGCAGCTCGCGCAGCAGCGGCGTTTACCCACTGTTGCTTTAGGCAGGCACAAGCCTAGATAGGTGCAAACTTCTACAGTTCAACCCTGAGTTGCAAATATTCTCTTCTATTGCTACAAACCAGTTTGCAAACAGGGACAGGTACAAAACTACAATACTGCTTGTGCCCAACATATTAGTACTGCTTTTAATAATAAAAGGTAAAGGTTTCCCTATCGGTCGTGTCTGACTCAAGGGCGCGGTGCTCTCATCTCCATTTCTTGGCTGAAGACAATTTCCATGGTCACTTGGCCAGCGTGGCTATATGCCAAAGGCACGCGGAACGCTGTCACCTTCCCACCAAAGTGGTACCTATTGATCTACTCGCACCTGCATGCTTTCAAACTGCTAGCTGGGAATAAGCTTTGATTAAATTTACTGAAAGGAAAGGAAAGCCTATAGGGGGAAAAAAGAGTGATGATGAAAATGCACACGGAGTTTTTCTCCAGATCCGTGGGGCTTCTATTCAACAAAATCCTTAAAAAGTCCAGAATTCATGGAGATTTGCTGTCATCTTCTTTCACTAGAATCAGGGGTAGGCAACCTCGGCTCTTTTATGACTCATGGACTTCAACTCCCAGAATTCCTGAGTCAGCATAGCTGACTCAGGAATTCTGGGAGTTGAAGTCCATGAGTCATAAAAGAGCCGAGGTTGCCTACCCCTGCACTAGATGGTGCCTGTTTGCAAAATTATCTCTGCTCCCAAGTGACCAGCAACCTTTCCATCTAGAGAAATGTATGAATGAGGAATTCTAAAGAACAGCCAAAAAAAAAAAAAGCATTAAAAAACCCCCTAGATCAGAGATGGCGAACCTTTTAAAGACCGAGTGCCCAAATTGCAACTCAAAACCCACGTATGCATCGTGCAGTGCCGGGGTAGGTGTGGCCCATTGGCTGGGCGTGGCCCATTATGTGGGCGTGGCTGCAGTGGTAACGGCAGACTGGGTGGGACTAAAAAGTTCAATCAATCAATTCCAACTTTGCGAGATCTTTTTTTTCCCGCGAGAAGTTGCAATTGACTGATTGAACTTTTTTTTTTTTTTTTTTGGCACATGTGGCAGAGGCCTAAAGCGAAAAGGTTTTATAAAACCCAGCTGAAGGCCTAGGACTGGGGCGATGGCGCGCGTGCCCACAGAGAGGGCTCTGAGTGCCGCCTCTGGCACCCGTGCCATAGGTTCGCCACCACTGCCCTAGACTACAGCTTTCAGAAACCCCCTGATAATGCTTGTCTGTCACGTTTGGAGTCAAAATAATGGAGTCGTTTTCATCCGTACAGCAAGGCTTTTCAGAGCAACTCTTAGCAAGGAATGCTATTCTACAGTGTTCCTGTGATGGGGGCCATGATTGTTCTGGCTCGTAGAAGAGGCCCCAAAAGCCCCTCCTTCAATCCACAAGCAGGAGACGGAATGGGATGAAATCCTTTCAGTGTCTCTTACTTTTTCCACTAGGAAATACTCTGACCATTTCTTTTCCCAAAGAGGACTTGCCAGATGAAGCTGGTTGAAGTCATCACTGAAGTTATTATGAAACACTAAAGCTACTTCCCCAAATGATTAATAAATTCTTCCAGCACAGTTCAAATTTGCAGAATATTCTTTGAACACCCAGTTTTCTTCCTATTCTGCCCTTCCTTAATTCCATTTTGGTTTCCAGAAAAATAGGTCGGGGGGGGGGGG